TCTTCAGCTCAAGGTGAGCGCTCTACCACTTGAGCTACAGCGCCACTTCCGGTTTTCTGGTGGTTTATTGGAGATAGGAGTCTCACGGTCTCTCCTGCCTGGGCTGGCTTTGAACCGCGATCCTCAGATCTCAGCCTCCTGAGTAGCTAGGATTACAGGCGTGAGCCACCAGCGCCTGGTGGGACATGCTTCTTTTTTACAGCTATTTTTCTCCTACAGTTTTTCTTTTTGGGAGAAAAAAGAACATGCTTTTTAAAAAATTATGTTTCTGAGAGTCTGGCATCTTAACTGATTTCTTTTTTTTTTTTTTTTGCCAGTCCTAAGGCTTGGGCCTAGGTACTGGCCTGGGCACTGTCCTTGAGCTCCTTTTGTGATAGAATTGAGCAAACTAACTAAGCCACAACTCCATTTTTGGCTTTTTCTGTGATTAATTGGAGATGAGTTTCATGAACTTCTCAGCTTGGGCTGGCATCAAACCAGTCCTCAGATCTCAGCCTCCTGAGTAGCTAAGGCATGAACTATTGGTGCCCAGCTTTTTTTTTTTTTTCTTTCAGGTTTTAGGTTCAGAACCACACCTCCAGTCCAACTTTCTGCTGGCTAATTGGAAATAAGAGTTGAGTGGACTTACCTGTCCAATGGCTTTGAACTTCATTTTTCCAGATTTCCACTTCCTGTATAGCTAGAATTATAAACGTGAGCCCCAGTACCTGGTGCTCTTGCACATGTTTTTTGTTTTTTCCTATCGCTTTCTCTGTCTCTTAACAAAATAGTTTAAGTTATCTAAAAAGCATAAAGAAAAGCGTGCACATGGTCATCACTCCATTCCAGATCTAACCTTCACTGAAACAGAGACGTTCCTTCCTCTACCATCATTGTCTGTGTCTGGCAGGTTAATCCGACCATTCATGGGGAGTCTAGGTCCTTATGGTAGTGCCCCAACACCCAGTAATAATTCAGAGCACTGGCCCTGGGGTCCGAGTCCTGGTCCCTTGTCCCCAGCCACTACCCCAGACTCCACAGCCATGAGAATTCTACAAGTACCAGAAACGTATCTTTGCCCTCCTCTGGTTTTCTCCATTGTTTAAACCTAGTTATCAGCTGGGTGCAGGTGGCTCACGCCTGTCATCCTAGCTACTCAGGAGACTGAGATCTGAGGATCACGGTTCAAATCCAGCCCAGGCAGGAAAGTCCATGAAACTCTTATCTCCAGTAAACCGCCAGAAAACTGGAAGTGGTGCTGTAGTTCAAGTAGTAGAGCGCTAATTTTGAGCTGAAGAGCTGAGGGACAGCACTCAGGCCCATGACCAACAAACAACAACAACAAAAACCCTAGTTATCATGTTGGTCTCAGTCAGTGGTCCACAGTGGTACCCGTTACCTGCCCACTACCAAGTGTCATTTTTTCCCAGTTTGATTGCTCTCTCCTACCTAGCACACCGACTACAGAGTCCCACCAGGCCTTGTCTTAATCTCCTCACTTTTTTAGTGTCATCTTTGGCTTCCTTTTTACTGTTGTCCATTTTTGCTGGACTGTTTTCAATTCTCTTTTTTAAATTTATGTTAAATGTAATTTATTTATCTGGTAGTGCTGGAGATTGAGCCCAGAGACTCATCCAAGCACTCTGCCACTGAGCTATATCCCCAATTTCTTTCTCTCTTTCTCACACACTCTCAGTACTAAATATAGACCCTAGGGCCTTGCACGTGCTAGGTAAGTGGTCTACTGAGCCACCCACCCATCCTAATCTAGCCCTTATTCTTTCCTGTCTCTGATCCTGTGGTGAGTGAATGGTGGTGATCACTGCTGCCTCTTGCGCTTTGTTCTCAACCTTTGACCATGCTGTTTGTCTCCTCCCCAAATGTTCTCCCTATTTGCTCCCACAGTTCCCGTGGGGATAAGGCAGCCAAGCCTGGTCCTCACACTACTGCTACTGAAGGTAGAGCTGTACTCATGTACTCTTCTCTCCAGGCCGCGGCAGAGACAGCGTATGTACCCTAAATGTACGTGGCTGACAACTCCTAAGAGCAGCTGGCCTCGGTACAGCAAACCAGGTGAGGGTCTGAAGGCATTTGGGCTTCAGCTGGGTGCTGCTGGTAGTCCTCCTGGCCTGGCAGCCCTTTGATCAGTGTTGTGCTGGTCTGCAGCTGCCAGATCTCCAAGGGCTGTGTGCACCACTGCTGTAGGACGGCAGTCCGGTGTCTACCACACAGTCTAGCATAATCTGGGTTTTCTCATTTCATTACAGGATTTTCCTTTTTGATTTAGTCTTGGGGCTTAAACTCAGGGCCTACCCACCATCCCTGAGCTCTTTTTCTCAAGACTAGTGTTCTACCACTTTGAGCTACATCACCACTTCTGGTTTTCTCTTGGTTAATTGGAGATGAGTCTCCAATTAAAGTCTGCCCCCAGGCTTCAAACTGTGATCCTCAGATCTCAACCTCCTTAGTAACAAGGATTTCAGGTCTGAGCCTCCAGTGCCTGGCCACTGTAGGATTTTCTACCTTTGTTTATGGATTCTGTATAATACAAAAGCAGTTGAGGTGTGTGTGTGTGTGTGTGTGTGTGTGTGTGTGTGTGTATTGCATGTAGGATTTTCTGCCTTTGTTTATGGATTCTGTGTCATACAAAAGCAGTTGAGGTGTGTGTGTGTGTGTGTGTGTGTGTGTTGCATGTAGGATTTTCTGCCTTTGTTTATGGATTCTGTGTCATACAAAAGCAGTCGAGGTGTGTGTGTATGTGTGTGTGTGTTTATGGATTCTGTGTCATACAAAAGCAGTCGAGGTGTGTGTGTATGTGTGTGTGTTGCATGTAGGATTTTCTGCCTTTGTTTATGGATTCTGTATCATACAAAAGCAGTCGAGGTGTGTGTGTGTGTGTGTGTGTGTTGCATGTAGGATTTTCTGCCTTTGTTTATGGATTCTGTATCATACAAAAGCAGTCGAGGTGTGTGTGTCTGTGTGTGTGTGTGTGTGTGTGCGTGCGTGTTGCATACATACCAGGACTGGGGTTTGAACTCAGGTTCCTGTTGTTACTTAGCTTTTTTTTCATGGCTGATGCTCTACCACTTGAGCCATGCCTTCAGTTCCAGATTTTTGCTTACCAGCTGGAGATAAGAGTTTCAGATTTGTGTGCCCAGGCTGGTTTTGAACCTTAATTTTCAAATCTCAGTCTCTTGCATAGCTAGGTTTATAGCTAGTATAGGTTTATAGACACCAGCACCTAGCTTCAAGTTCATTTTTTTTTTACAATAGACTACCAAGCGCACATAATTGAAATATAGCTTGATGTATAGGCATAGGGCTACATAACGTATAGAAGCATCCAGAGAGCCCTCATGGCTGGAGAAGGGCCAGGGCAGGGACACCCACCATACCTAAGGGTCGGTGCATATTTGATGAGGGGTGGGTGCGGTTCTGAAGATCTGCCAGTGCTGCCACACCTCTCCCTCACAGCCCTGCCTCCTGCTCCTTTGTGGATACTAGAAGATTCTCCCTATGAGGACTCACCTTAGGAACTTGGGGCCTATGTTTTAGAGAGCAACCTCTGGTGCTGCATAGGTGTCTGTCCTGCCAGGCTCCTTTCCCTCCTAGCAGAAACACCTGAGCCCTGGTGTTGATGGACAGTCACTGGCCATGTATTCTACAGGACTCAGGCATCGAGTGGGGTAGTCAGCAAGGAATAACTAAGGAAGCCAAGAACCACTGGCCTGTATCATGGAGGTCCTGGGAGACTGAAGAAATGGGCACTGTAAGCACACACATAGCAGTCGTAGAGAAGGTGTTGGCATGGCACTGTGTTCACTGCATTCTTCTGCCCCTCCTTCATGGTCACCCTCACCAGCTGTGTGATCTGAACATCGCGGGTCCCTGACTGGATCCAGTGGCTGGCTCAGCTCTGTGTGCTCTGTTCTCTGATGATGCTCCAAGTCTGCCACGCTTCTTCTGGTCATTTCCCAATACACCTCATACTCCATGCTGGATCTCAGTTCTATGGGGAAACATGTCTACAAAACCAAAACTGACATAAAATCCCTTCTTGATGTAGCCCAGGCACTGGGAAGTGGGCCTGGGCATTAATGGGAGAGCATTTGATGGGTGTCAGACTATATCCTAGAGTTAGCCCAGCCTCATGCTTTGGTAACTTGCACAAAACCATCTGGGTCCAGTTTTACTCCACCATCCAGCCCAAGCACACTCTCCCAGATCCTTTTGCCTCTTAGGTCTGTCTATGCGTCTGCTAGAATCGAAAAAAGGCCTTTCCTTCTTCGCGTTTGAGCACAGTGAAGAGTACCAGCAGGCCCAGCACAAGTTCCTGGCAGCTGTGGAATCCATGGAGCCCAACAACATTGTGGTGCGTGAGTCCTGCAGCTCTGGGCAGAATAGGGCCAGGCCCCCTGGTGATTTGAGGAGGTGTGCCTGCAGGCACTGCTTCCCCAAGCAGGAGGGACACCTGTGTACAGTGCAAGTGTGCTAGGAACTAAGCAGCGGGCAGTCTGTGAGAGGAGCACATAGTCCTGTCTAGGACAGCCTGCACCTGCATCTCCTGGCACGGCCTGTGCCGCACTTCACTGGAACAGCAGGGGGAGTGCGTAGGTCCTGGGCAGCCCAGTCTGCGTCCTGTGCCTTTAGCTTTACATGCCCAGGCCCCTCTGCTTCCCAGGCTCACCTCACCTGCAGTGAGCACTCCGACCTGTTCCCAAGTGGGAAAAGAAGGCTACCTGTTACCCTTGCTCTTGGTTGAGCTATGGCAAGCTGACCAGGCCCGACTCTTGAGTTCCTATCAGGAGTCAAATCATTGGTTAAGTTGGAAGGGAAATGTGTCGCTTCTGAAGCTCATGACTCCCAGCATATGCAGGGCCCATGCATCTGGGATTATTCCCACATGGGCTTGCCTGCAGCCCTTCCCTAGGAGTCTCCTCCTTTCTGGCAGGTTCTTCTCCAGACAAGCCCCTATCACGTCGACTCACTTCTGCAGCTCAGCGATGCCTGCCGCTTTCAGGAGGACCAGGAGATGGCCCGAGACCTCACAGGTGAGAAGCCCCTGCGCCTGCCGCTGGAGCAGCTCCTGGGCACAGGCAGACATTGTTTCACAAGATGAAGACAGAGGCTTCATGAGATTCAGTTCGCAAACTGCAAAAGCCACCTGTGGAAAGTGTGCAGTGCGTTGTGTAGCTACCACCATGGTCTGTTTCGTGTCCCGTGGAAGAAGTCTCACTCTCTGTTGTCCTTCCCTGACCTCGGGAACACTCTTCTGCTCTGTCTTTGTGAGTTTGCCTTGTATGGAACTTTCGTGTAGATGGAACCATATAAGTACGTGTGGCTTCTTTCATTCACTGAAATGTGTGTGCTGTCCGTACTGTAGCATGTACTACACCTGCACCCTGTTGGTGGTTGCGTAATATTCCGCCTGTGTGTAAGACCACATGGGTAGACCATCTTCAGTTGATGGGCCTTTGGTCTGTTTTCTGGCTACTGTAGATAGTGCTGCTGTGAACACGAGTGTGCAGGTTTTGTGGGTGTTTATGCTTGTGTTACACACGTAGTGTTAGCGGAACACAGTGCCAGTCATGCCTCATAGTGTCTAAAGTTTTTCTGTCTCAAGCTCACAAGTTCTGTGTTGCAGTAAACTCAGACTGGCATCAAGAATACCCAGGAGGTCCCACCTGCCCTGTTTCCAGAATTTTCTCTATTTTGAGTCATCAGAGGGGGGCCACAGTTGCCACATAGTGGCTGTGACACCTGCCTTGGTGTGTCTGTGGTCCACAGAGAGAGCACTGTACAGCATGGAGTGTGCGTTCCACCCTCTGTTCAGTCTTACCAGTGGGACTTGCCGGCTGGACTACCGCAGGCCTGAGAACAGGTGAGCATGCCTGTCCTGAAGCCTCTCCGGGGAGGGTCCTGTCCTGTCGGTGCTGGCCCCTGTTCTTGGATGCAAGGTTTCACGAGGTGCCCATAAGTGACACAAGTGACAGCTTTGAGTTCAGAGCACAGGGGGCAAGAATCTGTCTTCAAGGACAGCCAGGCCCTGCAGGTCCAGGGTCCCTTTCAAGCCTTGGCACTCACAGCCAAGGTGCAGAACTCAAGGTTAGACTGGCCAGGGCCTGCAGGTCCAGGGTCCCTTTCAAGCCTTGGCACTCACAGCCAAGGTGCAGAACTCAAGGTTAGACTGGCCCTAAATAAAACCTTTCTGAGTTAGCAGTGAGTCTGACAGGCCACCTTGCTACAGTGATGTCTATAATTATGTTTTCTTGTGTATTTGGAGGAGAAGGCTAATTCTCTCAGTTGAGAATATTTTAGCATGCTTTGCAGGCATGGGTCCTGATTTTTAAGCTGTGTTCAGTGGAGATTCAGTTTGATTTGTGTGGTTGCCCTTCTTTCCCTTACCAGCCTCTGGCATTTGCTCACTTATCAGGCCTGGGCAGCTGCAGCAGACCCCTTCTCACATCCAGTGCCCTACTCTGGCTGTTCTGGTGAATTCCTGTGTAGGACACCCAGTGTCCTGTCATCTGCACTGGGTGCTGCATCTGACTGTCTCCACTGGATGGCTTTGTGTTGCTTTTGTCTTTTCCCGTTTCTTTGAAATGGGTTCTAAAGTGAATGAGGGTAATTAAAGTTACACAATGCAGTGGACCCACCATTAGCACTGAGTGTAAAGTAAGATCATAACTCTTAACAGATTTTAACTCTCTTCCTTTCCATGATAAATAGCAAACAAAAACCACAAAGGTGGTAATCCTAGTGACTCCGGAGCCTCGGATCTGAGGATTACAGTTCAAAGCCAGCCTGGGCAGAAGAGGCTATGTAAGCCCCAGGACTGGCGCGCGCACACACACACACACACACACACACACACACACGATTACAGTTCAAAGCCAGCCTGGGCAGAAGAGGCTATGCAGCGTGTAAGCCCCGGGACTGGCGCGTGCGCACACACACACACACCAAAAAAAACACACATAAAGATGAAGTCTTCTAATGAGCTTGATTTTAATCAGACATGGTAGTACCTGTAGTCCCAGCACTCAGGAGTCTGAGGTGATTAAAAACAAGATTTCAAAATGAGCTTGGGCAACATTAGACCTATCCATATGTTTTTCATATGTAAGTACATTTATAATAAAATAAGGGCTTATACCTTCATCCAGACAGAATGTTTACTGAGGGACGGAACATATAGATGTCTCTCAGTTGTGTTCTGTGGCTCTGCTGTTGCTTTAACTCACATGGAACCATTTCAAATGTAGGAGTTTCTATCTGGCCCTCTACAAGCAGATGAGCTTCCTGGAGAAACGAGGCTGTCCACGCACAGCTCTGGAATACTGCAAGCTCATCCTGAGGTGAGTGTCCACCCAAGCCAAGCTACCATCTGTCCTCACCACAGCAGCCCCAGGTCTGGGGACTAGCCATGATGATATACCTCTCTTTCCCCTCTGCTCTATGCTTGCTGTGCTGTCTCTGGAAGCCTCGAGCCAGATGAGGACCCCCTATGCATGCTGCTGCTTGTGGACCACCTGGCCTTACGGGCCCGGAACTACGAGTACTTGATCCAGCTGTTCCAGGAGTGGGAGGTAGGTGTGAGTCTGAGCATACTGTGACTCACGTGTGTCAGTGTCTCTCTCGCCTTCTTTGTCCATACGCTATGTGTCAAAAGGGCAGTTTCCCAGTGCACTGGCGAGGATATGAGAGCTAGGGTGAATACCATGGTATTCCCACCTTGTTGGCTCCCTCCTACTTTGATTGAACAGAATCTAGTCTCCCTAGAATGTAGTCTAGTAGCTTAGTGTCAAGACGCATGGCACCACACACTGCTTGCTGCAGAAAGACAGGTGCACATAGTGCTCATAGTGATGGAGAGTTGTGAAAACCTTAGAGCAGGCTGTCACCTATACAGTAGGGTACAGCCATGAAGTAGAGAGTACCATCAAACCAGCGTAGGGACTCCAGCACACTGTCCAGTCCATGTCCTGCAGAGACGCAACATGTTTGTAACTAGTTACATCTGCTGTATTGGATTGTTGACATGTGGAATGCAAAGGAAAGGTGGCCTGGTTCCAAACCATCATCCTCAGGCCCAGATACCTGGCCTATTGCAGTGACACCTGGTGCAGGTCTCATGCCAGGTTTGATCCGTGCTCATTCTGTGAAGTGACAGTTGAGGTATACTAGGTTAGAAGCTATGTGCTAAAACTAGTTACATCTTTCTAATGCAGCTACTGGAAAGTTTAAACAGCACACAGCTCCTCTCATCTCACGTGGAGGGAGGTGTCAGCCTTCGCCTCCCGCCTCCCCCCCCCCCCAAAAGCAAGGACTGGGAGAGCAGAGGGATGACAGCACTGTTTCTATGCTTGAACATTTTCATAGTACATGTTTTCCACACATAATAAAACATTCCACTTTCAAGACATATTTGGAGCTCATAGGAACATAGCTTTTAAAACACTAGGGAGCTGCACAGCACTAGTGGCTTACACCTGTAATCCTAGCTACTCAGGAGACTGAGATCTGAGGATCATGGTTTAAAGCCAGCTTAGGCAGGAAAGTCCATGAGACTTTTACCTCCAGTTAACCACCAAAAAGCCAGAAGTGGAGCTAGTGGTAGAGTGCCAGCCTTGATCAAAAAAGCTAATGGACGGCACCCAAGCCTAGTTCAGTCTCCTGCACAGAATAACACAAGGAGAGGTTCTGGGGGGTCTCACAAAAACAGGGCTGTGGGAGAGGTTTCATGCTTGTTTCTAAGATTATAGCACACTTTGAAGATGATTTCATTTTAAGGGGAGAAGGATAGTAAATCGCATGCCTATTACATACATGCATAGTGAAGGGAAAGAATGGCTTCTCTGAATGGTGAGGTGTTGATACATCGTCTTCACTGACTGCCACACAGAGAAAGGGCTGGCTTCCCTGCTGTCAGAGCTGAGAGCAAGTGTTAAGCCTCCGCTCTTCAGGCCCTCACTAGCTGATGGAGCATCCTTCTTCAGGTGAGGCTGTTTCCCACCCTCTCCTGTCCTTTCTTCCTGTGCATACAGAAAACCTCTTTAGACACAATGTTGCGTTTTCTGTATTTCTTTATCCTAAGTTAAGGAGGTACCTTCATGAAACCCACCAGCTGTGTCTGGCTCTGTGGGGGTACCTGGCAGCATCTGAGTCTCTGTAGTCCTTCACTTGGTAGCTTTTGGGAGGTCTAGTGCCTGGACTCAGGAGGTTAAGCTCTTGCTCAGCTTGCTTACTCAGAGTTGGTACACTATGGAGTGGAGCTATACCTTCGCTTCCAGGGTTTTTTTGTTTTGTTTTTGTTTTTGCTGGTTAATTGGAGATAAAGGTCTGTCTGTCTGGGCTGGCTTACAAGCCTCAATCCTTAGATCTGTCTCCTAATAGAACCTTCACATTTTTTGTCTTCATGACCTTGAGGGCCCAGACTTTGTTTCTTCATTAACCTTATAGGCTCATCGGAACCTGTCCCAGCTCCCAAATTTTGCCTTCTCGGTTCCATTGGCATATTTTCTCCTGAGTCAGCAAACAGACCTCCCTGAGCCTGAGCTCAGCTCTGCAAGGGAAAAGGCCTCTCTCTTGGTCCAGCAGGCGCTCACCATGTTTCCTGGAGGTAGGTGCATGCCTTCCAGAGGGCTGTCTTCCTCTTGTGTTCCCCAGAGAGTGGGATCTGCCCACAAAGATAACTTGCCTTCCTCAGGGTGGGACAGATCCAGCTTCTAGCCCTCCTTTTAGTAAAGGACATACATACACTAACAGGACTAAACAACTGCTGTACTGGTGCTTAGAAATCTGGCCACATACAAGGAACAGCAGGGAGAGGGACACACATCCATACCCTTTGGGGCTCAGTAGGAGGTGAGAGAAAGACCATGATGTCAGCCAGAGATACACTGTTACACAAATTTTGCTGTTAGGGAGAAAAGCGGAGCAGAGAGTGTCTAGGCCCGGCCCAGAGGCAGTGTATGGGCATCAGCCTGGAGAAGTTATTGTGCCATACAGCTGTTAGGGCTCCTACAGACACACTGGGCAGGGTCTCAGCACGCTTCCGTCTGCTCCCTGACCATAGGGTCGGCTCTGTTAACTGAGACGCCACCTATGATCTCTGAGGTTCAATACAGTTGGCAGCTCCTGGGCTTCCGTAGACAACTCGTAGAGGTGATGCAGGACTAGGCAGCCTGTGTGCTGCACGGCAGAGCTGGCTCTGCTACCTCACAAGGGTCTTCAGAAGCCGCTGGCCACTGTGCATATGCAGGCTGTCGCCAAGCCGGTACTCAGCCAGAATGCTGCCTGCCACGGGGGCTGGGCAGGGAGGACAGCGCCCAGCGTGCCACCTACTGACCCACGTCTGGACCTGGGTGGGAGGGCACCGGTGGCTCCCACCCCCATCTGTCTTCCATGAGGTCCGGTCTTCATACGGTTAAAATATCCAGCTACCCATCAAAGGGGGATGATGCGTAACGCTGTCTCACTACAGGTGAGGGCACTAGAAGATTAAAGGACAAGTTTCTATTTCCAGGTTCTGAGGTAGAAACCCCAGCCTCTAATCTGAACCCTCAACAGCAGTAACTCAGTACTGGTCAAAAACAAGGCCCCACTGACTGTCCCAACGTCCTCCACCTTAAAAATACCCAGTGATAGGCCAGTGCTGGTGGCTCACGCCTGTAATCCTAGCTACTCAGGAGGCTGAGATTTGAGGACTATGGTTTGAAACCAGCCTGGGCAGAAAAGTCCATGAGACTCTTACCTCCAATTGACCCCCTAAGCCAGAACTGGGGCTGTGGCTCAAAGTGGCAGAGCAGTTTACTTGAGCAGAAAACCTCAGGCATAGTGCCCAAGCCCTGAGTTCAAGCCCCATGGCCAACTAAAAAAATACCTAGCTGTGTCTGTGACAGGGACCTTACTAAGTCGTTGTCATCCGCCATGGGTGGTGGGAGCAAGTATAATGAGGTCATAAGCTCACAGAGCCCTCGCTTCTCCCGCAGTCCTCATGCCCTTGCTCGAATACTGCAGTGTGCGGCCCGATGCCACAGTCTCAAGCCACCGCTTCTTTGGACCAGATGCTGAGATAAGGTAACTAACTGTCTGTGGGTACTGCTCCCCCTCACAGCAGCAGAAGGGCTTTCAGGGGCTGTGGCACTGAAGGGTCAGAGTGGAACACAAGGGTGTAGCTCCGGGCATCTGTGCCCTCCGTTTTGACAGCCTTGGGGGCAGGAAGCCTCTGGGGGAGCCGGGACTGATTTCCATAGGAAAAAGGTTCTGGAACTCTGATCCATGTAAAAGACATCCTCACCTCTGAGAGAAAAAGTGCTGCTGGAGCAAGTGAGCACCCCCTGACCTAAGACATGAGGTTCACAAAGATGGCTGCTTATGAGAGTGGGAGAGCAGGGCATGAGGTGGGTGTGCGGCCTGCGAGGCCCTCAGCACGGGACCTTCACATCAGTAGTATTCCCACTCTGTGCGTAGGTCAAGTTTCTATAAACGAGGAACGTGGGAAGGATGTAGCCTATGGAAACCCAGCCCTGTCTCTCCATCAGCAGGCTGCAGGCTGACCTCCAGGGCCTGCTCCATGCGATACAGACATGCACATCACACACTCTGAGTCTGTGGAGTGACCCCACTGTCCACAGACTGCTTGGGCCAGTCTGGACCTCTCTCTGCCTACAACTGGGGTCCTGCTGGGAGGGGTTTCTGCTTACGGATACTACTCTCCCACAGCCAGCCCCCTGCCTTGAGCCAACTGGTGAATCTATACCTCGGAAGGTCCCACTTTCTCTGGAAAGAACCTGCCATCATGAACTGGCTGGAGGAAAATGTCCGAGAGGTTCTGCAGATAGTAGATGCTGGAGACCCTGTCGTGGGGTCCTGTGAGAGCAGGTGAGCTAAGCGGGGCTTTCCAGAGCTTGGGTGGGGCGCCAGGCATCTGGCGTCAGCACCTGCTCTGCCCTCCTTGGGTCACAGCTGTGGGGCAGCAGGATTGTGAACTGCAAAACGCAGCTCTTGTGAGGTTGGAGGGGCAAGCGTATAAACTGCTGCTGACGGTGGGCCCTGGAGGGCCCTGGGGTAAGCTGCCGTCACTGTTTGCACAGAATGGTGTGTGTGATGGTGTAGTCACATTGGGTTTTTTTGGTTTTGGTTTTTTTGTTTTTTGGGGGGGGTCCAGTCGTGGGGCCTGAACTCTGGGCCTGGGCGCCATCCCTCAGCTCTTCAGCTCAAGGCTAGCACACTACCACTTGAGCCACAGCGCCACTTCCGGCTTTTTTCTTTTTGCGTATGTGGTGCTGAGGAATCGAACCCAGGGCCTCATGCATGCAAGGCAAGCGCTCTACCACTGAGCCACCTTCCCAGCCCCAAGTCACATTGTTTTAACTTCATCTTTTTTTTGGTTGGTCTGGGGCTTGAACTCTGGGCCTGAGCGCTGTCCCTCAGCTCTTCAACTCAAAGTGAGTGCTCTACCGCTTGAGCCACAGCGCCACTTCCGGTTTTCTAGTGGTTTATTGGAGTCTCACGGGGGCTGGGAAGGTGGCTCAGTGGAAAGCACTTGCCTTGCATGCATGAGGCCCTGGGTTTGATTCCTCAGCACCACATAAGCAAAAAGAAAAAAGCTGGAGTGGCACTGTGGCTCAAGAGGTAGAGCACTAGCCTTGAGGTAAAGAGCTGAGGGACAACGCCCTGGCCCAGAGTTCAGGCCCCACGACTGGACCCCCCCAAAAAAAAGTCTCATGGAGTTTCCTGCCCAGGCTGGCTTTGAACCACGATCCTCAGGTCTCAGCCTCCTGAGTACCTAGGATTACAGGTGTGAGCCACTGGCACCCGGCTAACTTCATCTTGACCATGAGCTTTTTTCCACATTTGCTGTGACAATTGTCAATCTCACCATCACTAGGGAAACATCGAAGCCAGCAGGTTCCCACAGTTAACCATGCTGGCTTCTCCTTTCCCACATGTAGGGATTCTAGTGGCTTATAACCTGACGTGCTGCTTATAAAGAGCAAGCCCTTGCCTGTGTGTGCAGTTTGTCTGGTCTGTGGCCCTCCCTAGCACCCTGACTCTGGAGACTGCAGCAGCTAGGCTGGCTGGCACACCACTTCCCAGAGCCACCAAGGACTCGAGACTGAGGCTGGATGCCCAGCTATGTGAAGGAACAAGGCAGTGCCTGTGCTGTCGGCCCTGATAGCCAGACAGACACTGCTGTTCTGGGCACCTTTTTTTTTTTTTGGTCAGTTGAGGGTCTTGAATCCTGGACCTGGGCGGTGTTCCGCAGCTCTTCAGCTCAAGGCAAGCATTCCACCACTTGAGCCACAGCGGCACTTCCAGTTTTCTGGTGGTTCATTGGAGATAAGAGTCTTAGGGGTGCCAGGCGTCAGTGGCTCACAACTGTAGTACTAGCTACTCAGGAGGCTGAGATCTTAGGATCAAGGTTCAAAGCCAGCCCAGGCAGGAAAGTCTGTGAGACTCTTATCTCAATAAAAACCACTAGAAAACCAGAAGTGGCGCTGTGGCTCAAGCGGTAGAGCTCTTGCCTTGAGTTGAAGAGCGCAGGGATGGCACCCAAGCCCAGAGTTCAAGCCCCACGACCGACCCAAAAAAAAAAAGTCACAGGGCCTTTCTTGCTCGGGCTGGCTTTGAACTGCGATCCTCAGACCTCAGCCTCCTGAATAGCTAGGATGACAGGCGTGAGCGGCCGGGCTGGCTCTGTGGACTGCTCCCCTCCCCCAGCCCAGCAGGAGGGGTGCCCAGCATTAGCGCCCACTGTGGAGATGGCCCGAGCAAATTCTCTGAGCCATGGCTGCAGCTGCCATCATTCCTGTCTCACAGATAAGGGTGGGGTTATTTAGGCCACTGCCAGGTTTGTCTCCAGAGTCTGCCCTTGGAGACCCTAAAGAGGGCCAGAGGACCGGCCCTGAGCATGAGATGGAAGGAGGTTCTTGGCCAGCCTGAGGGAACCAGCTCCTTCTGGGCTGGTTCCAGAATCAGTGGGGCTTGCTTGATTTTTCCCTTGATGAGTACCAATTACTGGTTTTGTTTTTCCTGGCCTTAGAAGGAAGGTGCTTTTCCAGCGTGCTCCCAGAAATATCCACCGCCATGTGATCCTCTCGGAGATCAAGGAAGCTGTTGCTGCCCTGCCCCCGGTAAGGGAGGGCCCTAAAAAGGGGCCAGTGACTTGGGGTCACACACTGGTGGGCTAGGCAGGCCTGGCTAGGACAGAGGGCTCCTCTCCTCAGCCATGTGGAGGCCAGGCACGGCTTCATCTCTGCACCATGGACTTGGTGAGCTGTCTCAGCAAGGTCTCGGGCTGTGTCCCGCTGCAGCCCAGCCTGTACTGACTTCCCTGCCCCAGGCTAGGCCCTGGCTGCCGCTATCTGAAACGTAACCTAGCGGAATATGGGAGGAGCAGGGAACGGCTGATGGTGGGCTGCTTCCGTGAGGGCTTTCAAGCACTCCCTGGCTTAACCATGACTTCCTTGTTGTCTCCCATTACTGACACTGCCAGCCTGGTCTCGGGCGCCAAGGCTCCCCTCCTGTCCAGTAGAGCATGGTGCTTCAAATCATGGGCTAAGTAAGGATGGGCCATCTGGTGTGCTAGTGTTTTGCGTGAGAGACCAGCAGCTCTGGTTACTGGCCTGGGGTCCCCATTCACCACTGTCACTGCTGACACTAGTGTCTGCTTTCCCCACCCCACCTCAAGGGGTGGGGTGTTATGAACTGTGACTGTACTGCCTCCTGCTGGAGGGGAGGCTCCTCCACCACCCCCACTCCCACCCTTTGAAGCTTCTTGGTACGGAACTCAGGCATTTCAGCCAGACATGTGGCTGCCTCCTACTAGACCCATGCGATCCAGGTTGGGAGCCCCTCACTGCTGGGAAGGCAGGGGTTCCCAGCGTGCTCCAGCGTCTCTGTTTTGTGTCCCTCTGAAGGATGTGACCACGCAGTCTGTGATGGGGTTTGACCCTCTGCCGCCCCTGGACACCATCTACTCCTACGTCAGACCAGAGAGGTACCTGCCCCTGCTTTGCTGTCACGCTTACACAGACCTAGGTCAGGGCTTGGAGGTGCTCGGGGGCTTGCCGCCCTGCCGAGCAGGAGATGGAGAAGCAAGCACAAGCATTCAGAGAGCCATCCCAGCATCTGAGTGCTTTCCTGTTGGGTTTTGTAGCAAGTAGGAGAGATACAGTGGGACACAAAAGAAGAAACCACCTCTGGAGTGATACGAGGGGTGGATGTGGCCCAAGTAAATTCCATGCATGTGTGGGAATACCAGAGAAGCCTCACGTTATACCGTTCGCAGGCAGGTTTGTGCATGCGTGCGCAGGCACACACTGCTGTTAGGTCTTGAACTCAGAGCATTGCACTTTCAGCTCTACCACTTGATCCATGCCTCCAATCCAGCTTTTCTTGCTAGTTAATTGGAAATGAAGTCTCACGGATTTTTATGCTCAAAGTAGCTTTGAATCATGATCTTCATTCAGATGTCAGCTTCCTGAGCAGCCAGAATTACAGACATGAGCTACCAGCCCCTAGTTAATATATACTTTCTAATTCAAAAAACATTGCAATAAAGAAACCACCTCTGCCCTTGTAAGTGCTTTGTGGAGTGCTCCGGGCGGTGGGCAACAGGCGAAGCATAGAACCTAGAGGTGAGCACATGATCAAAACTTCAGTGACAGACCATTGGGTGAGTGGACAGGGCCTGGCCAGGAAGCAGCAGTCACCTGCCTCAGAGAGGAAGAACGTGTGCTTTGGCCAGAGGATGTGGGCTATTCATCTAGCAGCAGCGTGTCATCATGTGCGAAAGCCCTGTGCCCAGAACAAATCACAAGCCCAGAGTGCTGCAGTGAGGTCTGTGTGCCTGGGTGAACATTCACGGGACCCCTTCAGAGCCTGATTTGTGAGCAGCTTTTGGAATCCAGGTCATGAAAGGCTTCTTTGCCCTTCCTTCCTGGCCTTCAAAATCAAGCGACTGCCTCACTGGCCACACCCCCATTGCTCCACCCTCAGTGGCCCCAGAAAGGCTCTCCTGCTTCAAGGAACGTGCCTGTAGGCCTTGGTGGGACACACTGAGTACAGCAATGACCCTTTTATAACATTTGGGCTGCAGACCAGGGGTGTGGCTCGCGTGGGCGAGCCCTGGCCTTGCAGAAACGGGTCCCGGAGATCCATTCCCAGTACTACAGAAAGGAAGAGAAATAGGAAAGGGAAAGGAATCTTGGACTGCATGTTCATTAGGAAACCATCCCCATTAAGTTCTCTGGTAGATGAGTGTGAAGCTTACAATGTCTCTTGGTTCAGGCACACCCTGCTGGGCTGTGGTGGCCTGGCCCACACAGCCCTTCCTTCACTGCCTCCCTGTGTGCAGCAGGGCAGCCTCTGCTACCTGTCACCAGCAGGAACCTCCCGCACCATCCTGGCGTCTCTTGCCTTTCTTTTCCTGCTGCTGAGTGCTTTCCTCAGCCCTTACCTGCTGAGAGCACACTGGAACCACGGATGTTCCTGGGCAAGGAGCCTCAGCCATGGCCACAGCAGCCTGGCCATGCTCACGTCTTTTTTTTTTTTTCCATGTGGTTCAGCAGGCCAGGCTGTGTACAGGGCAGTACCCAGATACCCTTCTCTCTCTCCCTCACTGACCCCCCTGATCTGGCCATGACCTGTCACTGGGCCTGGTCTGCTGGCTGACCCAGCAATTGATGGGGCTATCGTGAGCTGGCCTAAACAATGTCTGTTTAGTTTTGTTTTTGTGACCTTCCTTGACTTTCTCTTTCAGGCTAAATTCTATCACCCATGGAAACACAATTGCGCTCTTCTTCCGGTCATTATTGCCAAATTATACCACAGAGGTATGTTGATCCTGTCTTGGCCTCTCCTGCTGAGTAGGTATAGTCACGTCCATGAGTGAGTTGTGTCATGACATACAGGAGCAGGGCAGGGCTTCAGGGAGACCCTGCCCAGAGGCTGCCGTCCTCGTGGGATGTGGAGACTTGGCCTCTCAGAAGCTGTGAATGCTGTGAGGCAGTGTAGCTGGTGGACCCCATGGTCCAGGGCTTGGATTGAACATATGCATTTTTTTGCCTTGCCCAGGGACTTAGTAGGGTCGAGTCCAGTGCTGGAATATTGGCTGCCCTAGGCTTTAGAGAGAACTCCAGTTTGGGTCCCAACCCCAAGTCCTGCCACAGGTGATCCCTGCTCAGACATGTCTCATGTGCAGGGGGAAAGGCCGGAAGAAGGAGTGGCTGGAGGTCTGAATCGAAACCAAGGCTTGAACAGACTGATGCTGGCCGTTCGCGACATGATGGCCAACTTCCACTTCAATGACCTGGAGGCTGCTCGGGAGGACAATCCTGAGGGCGAGGGAGATTGGGACTGAGTCGTCTGCAGACGTTGTGCCCAGTGCTCCTTAATTATGTTCCTGATTTCCTTTGTCTGAATTGACTGATTCCCTGAATGTATGGCTGGCCTGCATCTTGTTCTCCTGTAAATATAAATGGACCGCGCTCAGCTGCTGTGGATGAACTCTCTTTCCGGAGCCCTGGTGACTCAGCATTCTGTCTCCAGAGCAAGTCCCACTCCCAGGATTTGGTGCTCGGTGGGTCTGTGCAGGGTCCCCACCCTCACGTGCTTTATCTTGAGAGTTGATAGAGCAGACACACACAGCTCTCAGGACTGTGCTCTCTTCCTTCTAAGCAGCTAGGGGTTATGTTGGAGTCTCCCAGCCAGATGCCACAATTTGAGGGGGGGGGGGAGTGGATGGATGCCGTGCTGTCCACAAATGCTGTGCCAGCATAATTTCAATGCTGGAGGTGGAACCTAGGGCCTTGAACATGCTGATGCACATATGCTGTACCACCAACCTATACCTCTGACCCAGAACCATTACAGAACTCGACAGGAATGCCCAGAATCGAAGGGAAGACAGAGAAGCAAGTTTAGGGAGGAAAATTGTCCCAGGTAGATCAGGGTAACACAGGATAGAGATCAGGAGACATTTGATACGAGGGCAGACGGGGTGCTCTAGCTGTTGAACCCTAGTCCGAGAGTGAGCTTGCTGCTTTGTAGATCCTGGATCAGCTGGCCACTCAGGGAGCCACACAGACTGTACCTTAGCCGCTGGCCTTAGCTGGGCAGGGTGAGAGGCCTGTAACTCAGAAGCTGCTTCTGGAAGAATCCCAGCTAAGGCTACAAACTAGCAGGCATCTCACAGCCCAGATCTTCCTCCCGCCAGTGGGGCAGAAGGTCCTGCCCTCAGTCACCTCCATCGCTAGGAGGCTCCACTGCTGTCCAGTTACCTCTGTGGGTAGCTGGTGGCCTTGGTGGGACCGGGGACCTCAGGAGGGTCTGGCACATGTCTTTGAAACAGCTTTCAATCCTGGACTGACAGACCAGGCTTCATGGTGCACCTGCTTCCTCCTGAACCCTCAGCCTCCCCAGAAGGCTGTGTGCTCAGTGTGGGACTGCTGACCTGTTGCCTTTGTCCTGAGTCATGGTGGGTGCATGGAAGGAAGCCTGTTTGCCATCTCCATGTAGGGGTCTCCTGGAGCGATCTGGCCTTGATGAGAAGTCGGGCTGGCCCCCAGCAGGAGCCTGACTGGCAGGTTCACATAGTTGGGAGCCGGAGCTCCTAGGACAAGCAAGCCAGGGCCAGTAGGGCCTCTGCCAGGCAGCAACACTCATCCAAATGGGGTTTGGCTGAATGAAGGCAGGTACCAGTTCTGCAGAGGCTCCCGTAGCCTGTCCGCATATGGAGTAGAAGCAACATGGCCTGCGGTCTGCCTGGTCTGCTGCAAGAACCGGGTACGCAGCCAACCAGCTAGAAAAGCTCCTCTTCGCAACCCGTGTTGCATGGAAGACAGCGCCACGGACTGCAGCAAAAGCTCCTAAAGCCCCAGTCAGTGGTGGTCACTCCAGGACACTGGGAGCCAAAAGTTGAAATTCAGCCAGCCCTGAGCATATGGTTTCATCTGGAGCTCATGTTGCCTCCTGTTTCCCTGTCCACAGCCAGAAGCTGCCTCCAGCTCAGCCTTATCTTCCCATGAGGCACCGACAGGTGTGGCCCGTGGGATCCAGGACGGGGAGTCCCCAGGCAGGGCACCCTATTTCCGGTATCCACCAGCGGATGCTTGCCAGAGGAAGGATGTGGCTTCCCTGCCAGAGGCCGGATTCTCATGTCCTTTGAAGTCAGGCTGTGGGGTGGGGTGAGTGGGGGAGTGTCCACCTCAAAGGCCTCATTGTGGAGCTGGAGATAGCGTCCCTGGAATGCTAGGGAGCAGGGAGCTGGGGCTAAGGGCTTCTCGCTACAGATGCCACAGAGGAGGTGGCCTGCAGCTGCCAGCTACCTGAGGGCTGCGTGGTTTTAAGGCCAGCTACGCCAGTCTCTCCACGGAGGAGCAGAGGATCAGTCCACCCTCCTCACTTACCTCTCAAGAGCACAGCAAGGCCCAGGGCCACAGGAAGCAGCTAACTGGGCCAATGAGGTGACAGTATGGCCTACCTCCGCACCAGCCCTTGCGGCGGCTCGGGGCACTGCATGGAGCATTCCCCTCTACGGTTACTCCCAGAGATGGGGCCTCGGAGTGCCTGCCCATGAGGAAAGTGGTTGGCCCAGATGTAAAGGCGAAGGTTCGCTTCTGGCCTGTGCAGGTCCACTACCGAGTGTCTTGCGCTGTGAGGTGGACAGAAGATGGACACCCACAGCACTGTGTCACAGAGAAGCTTCCCAAATGTCCACCACAATCCATTCTCATAACAAGTGGGACATAATCTGAAGGTGAAGAGGCTTTTTTTGTTTTGGTCCTGAAGCTTAGACTCAGGGCCTCACGCTCATTTGGCTTCTCCACTCACGGCTGGTGCTCTGCCACTTGAGCCATTGAGTTCTGGCATTGATTGTGTGTGTATGCACATGCACGTCAGTCCTGGGGCTTGAACTCAGGGCCTACGTGTTGTCCCTCATTCTTTTTCTCAAGGCTAGTGCTCTTCCACTTGCGCCACAGCACCCCATCAGCTTTTTCTGTATAGTTGTCAGTAAAAGTCTCATGGACTTTCCAGCCCTGGCTAGCTTATTCCTCAGATCTCAGCCTCCTGAGTAGGTGTGAACCACCGCTACCCAGCTAGTTCTGGCTTTTTGCTAGTTAGATGAAGATAAAAGTCCCAATTTGTGTGGGCTGGCTTTGAACCTTTATCCTCAGATCTTAGCCTCCTGAGTAGCTAGTAGCAACCAGTAATCAGAGGGGTTCAATTACCTGTAATAAGTCCAGTAGCAAAGATGTATATAAGCAAAAAGGACCAAACTGGTGGGGTAATGGTGGTTCACTTGTAATTCTAGATATTCACAGGCTGAGATCTGAGGATCAAGGTTCAAAGCCAGCCTGGGCAGGAAAGTCCATGAGATTTCTATCTCCAGTTAACCACCAGAAAACCAGAAGTGGCGCTCTGACTCAAAATGGTAGAGTTGCTGGGCGCTGGTGGCTCATGCCTATAATCCTAGCTACTCAGGAGGCTGGTATATGAGGATCGTGGTTCAAAGCCAGCCCAGGCAGAAAAGTCCAAGAGACTCATCTCCAATAAAGTACTAGAAAACCAGAAGTGACGCTGTGGCTCAAGTGGTAGAGCGCTCGCCTTGAGCTGAAGAGCACAGGGACAGCGCCCAAACCGAGTTTAAGCCCCATGACTGACAAGAAAAGGGGTGGGGGGGCGGGGGAGGGAGAGGATTCGGGAACCGGTGGCTCCCGCCTGTGATCCTAGGTACTCAGGATGCTGAGATCTGAGGATCATGGTTCAAAGCCAGCCCAGGCAGGAAAATCGTTAAGACTCTAATCTCCAATCAACCACCAGAAAACTGGAAGTGGTGCTGTGGCTCAAGCAGTTGCCTTGAGCCAAAGAGCTGAGGGACACCACCCAGGCCCAGAGTTCAAGCCCCACAACTGACCAAAAAATAAGATTGTAAAGGACAAACTATAAGGTCTCATTTATGTGAGATTCCAAAATAAAATGTGTCTGTGGTGCCAGGACAGTGACTCACTGGGGAGCTAGAGAGGTTTAGGGTCCAAGCTCTGCTTTGGCCAGATCATCATTGATCTGGGTGCTGCTTTTCTGGCTCTTGAGGCATCTTTCCACTGTCACTTGTGCACCTTTGTATTTTACTTCAATAAGCTGCTTTGTGTGTGTGTGTGTGTGTGTGTGCGCGCGCGCGTGCGTATGTACACATCTGCCAGTCCTGGAGCTTGAATCGAAGGCCTGGATGCTGTCCCTGGGCTTTTTTGCTCAAGTCCAAGGCTAAAACTGTACCACTTAAGCTACAGCTCCAGTTCTGGCTTTTTAATTATTTATTTGGTAGTTTATTGGAAATGAGAGTTTCATAATACTTTTCTGACCAGGAAGGCTTCAGTCCATGATCCTCAGATCTCAGCCTCCTGAGTTGCTAGGGTTACAGATGTGAGCCACCAGTACCTGGTCAGTAAGCCACCTTTTTTTTTTTTTTCTTTTTTTCTACATTGTCCAGGCTGGCCTTGTACTCAAGATCCTCCATCCTCAGCTTCCTTAGTAGTAGGATTGCAGTCATATGCCACCACACCTGATAAATAACATTTTTGTGTTTGCCCATCATGGGTCTTGAACTCTGGGCTTGGGTACTGTCCCTCAGCTCTTCAGCTCAAGGCTAGCAGTCTACCATTTGAGCCACAGCACCACTTCAGTTTTTCTTTGGTTTATTAGAGATAAGAGTCTCATGGGGCTGAGAAGGTGGCTCAGTGGTAGAGTTTGCCTTGCATGCATGAGGCCCTGGGTTCAATTCAGCACCACATAAACAGAAAAAGCCAGAAGTGGCACTTTGGCTCCAGTGGTAGAGTGCTAACCTTGAGCTGAAGAGCTGAGGGACAGCGCCCAGGCCCAGAGTTCAGGACCCACAACTGACAAAAGTTTCATGGCCTTTCCTGCCCTGGCTGGCTTTGAATCGTGACCCTCAGATCTCAGTCTCCTGAATAGTTAGGATGACAGGCGTGAGCCACCCGTGCCCATTTTCTTTTTTAGTGAAAGCAAAAGGGGAAGATTTGTAAGTTGTGAACTGCAGCTATGACTGCATTCTTCAGTGACTGGTATTCTCCAGTGGCTAGTGTAAGCTGTGAACTGCAGCTATGAGGGATGACTGGTACTCTCCAGTGGCTAGTGTAGGCGCTGTATGACCACCGCTAGCCAGAGTATGTCAGGCAGCTGGGTGGATAAGAAAGAATGGATTTTATTTTTGTTTTTTGTTGTTTTTTTTTGGGTCCGGTAGTGGGGCCTGAACTCTGGGCCTGGGCGCTGTCCCTCAGCTCTTCAGCTCAAGGCTAG